AGGTCAATGCTCTGCTGAAATGGGTTGCTTTTTCGTCGTGAATTAGTCCTGTGAAGTCGTGTTACGTTTGAAGATCCTAGCGAATTGGTGAGCAATAGTGCGCTGTCCCTTCCAGTCGAATTGTTGACGTTTCTGGAAGCACTACTGTCTTGGGCAATTCAACTGTTTCTTTGTTTTCTCCTCATAAGCCCTCTTCCATGCTTTGCTGTGCAACATCGATGAATAGCTCGTGGGCGGCTTCTCGGTGGAATCTTCTCCACGTCTCCTCGCTGCGATATAACACATTAACGTAGTGCTGAGTGATTGCTGCCTCTAATCGGCTAACTCTTCTACATTAAGAAATTAGAATCTCCAAATTCATTCACTAATGGCTTTATCCACCAGCCAAGTGATTTGAAGAGTGTCCTGCTAACTCTTCGTAGGTTCCAAGAGACTATACATAGAGAAATTGCGTTCGAGTAATCAAATTCTGTTGCTCTTTGGAAGCCTGCTGGTGCTGGTGTTCTGCGCGTTGCGGGGCTTCTTGTTGGGAATGCCCCGTTCTTAAGAAGTGCTTCCGATGATCCTTCTGTACTATTGCTTTTAAGTCTTCATCTTGAGGCTGCCTTTCTCATCATTTTCGTTCTTCGAAATTTGTAACTGCTTTGTAAAGATTCGAAAAGGATCACGCCAAATGTTTTGCAGATAAGCTTCTTCGAAAATGCTGAAATGGCTGAATGAAGTCACCTCGGTCGGAGTGGTGTCCGACAAGTGCGACGATGGTCGAGAAGAGTTTGAGGGCAACGACGATAACATGATGATCGACTTGATCTTGGCCGAGGTGGAGGCAAAAGTGGCTGCTTTCGAAACAGAACAGGTAAATTGAAATCTTTGACTTGGCTCACTGATTCCAGTGAGCAGGTTGTAAATTACGGTAGACACTAATATGTAACCTCCCCTTCAAAAAGCGAGAAAGTGTCGGGTGCAGACCAAACACCACAACTGACGACGGCCTCCAAGTAAATCTGGTTAGAAGTTGTTCATAGTGATAGCTGATTTCTGGTAAATGATAGTTGTAATTAGTGACAATCGATAGAATACAACTGAACAGGCTAA